TAGAGACGGGGTTTCACCATGTTGACCAGGATGGTCTCGATCTCTTGACCTCGTGATCCACCCGCCTCGGCCTCCCAAAGTGCTGGGATTACAGGCTTGAGCCACCGCGCCCGGCCTGTTTTTGTTTTTTAATTCAGCCCATGAGGCAATTAGTTACATGGCAAGGCTTTGTCCAATCTGCACTCTCACTTCAGGCCCAGGCTGAAGAAAGCAGGGAACTGCCATAGATACTAAGAAGAATTTCCATGACAGAAGTAAGGCCTTTTAAAATGTGTGAAACATGGTCACGGCTACTTTTAAAATAAAATCCCCTGAGATGGGTAGGGGAGATAATAAGTCACACATCTGACAGGTTGGAAACTTAAGATACTGAGTTCTTGGGTCCAGGTTTTGTTTACGAGCAAACGGCAGAATTAAGACCAGAAATTGTCACTCTCAGCTTCAGTTCTGACTTTTTGGTTGGTGTTAGTTGGAACTCAGAGACTAGCATGGGATTTTAATTATATACGATGAAGACGGTGAAGCTATCTTCTTGTTTTATATTCAGATCCCTTCCTGGGTCTGTCTGTTTTGGCTTGTTTCATAATTGAGCTTCCTTGATCCTGAGCCATTTGGGAATTGGGAATGACATAAGCCGCTCCTCTTATTACCATTGGTCTGTCACCGGTCCACATGTTAGCAATATCTAGGTCCCCAGGAGAATCCCAAATATTATTTCAGTTCTCCTGTAGCTCATGAAGATGTAAATCTTTCACCTCACCCAGGAGAATCAAAGCATTTTCACATTGGTTCTTACTGGGGAGTTGAGATATGGGTAAGTAATAGGAGTCCCATTCCTGCTTTGGGTGGAGTTCTGGTCTCCAAATGCACTGCCAGTATGTCTCTAAATCTACACAGTGGAACAGTGGCTACACCAGACATTACTCAGTTCCCCATCCCTGACTCAGGACCTTCCACTAGCTGCCCCTTCCCCTGAAAACAGAGCAATGTCATAATGATATCTGAATGGTACCTGCTGATAACAACACAGAGATAACAGGAGCAGACTTTCTGCAGTGAGCAATTGGCTGTCATTGTCCTAAACAGAACAGCTGGCTTAAAAAGATTTATCCGCAATGTAACCTCCTGGCCCTCAGCTATGGGTGGAAGCAGCGCTTTCTGGTTTGACCTCCTAATACCGCAAACATCACTTTGCCGGAAATGTGACTTGAATAGTGTGTTCAGACCTGCGAATTTGGAGTGTATTCATATTTGACCACCTGCTGGTAAGACTGATCACCCCCTCACCCAACTGTAGCTTTGAGCATCTGTCCCCCTGTTGCTCCCATCCCCAGGAAAGCCAAAATGGCACCACCGAAGGAGGGGAGGGGAGAGCCTGGAACTGAATACTCACAGGGAATTGTGAGTGATGGAATGTGGATTGCTGACACCATGTCCCTTTCCTCTTGCTTGTTGTAGGAGCGTCAACGACCAAGAGGAGACCAGATGAGTTTTCAAAGCAGTCCTCACACACCCAGGACACACCTCATCCTTTGCCTCGTGCTTTCTGCAATGTTGCTGTTCACGTTCATCTTCCTATTAACCCTTGCCATAAGAACCCCTTATTGACCACCATCCTTCCTCCATCCACCACCCACTCAGCTCCTTCTCTGTGTGCCGTCTAATGGGCAGTGGCTTTTGTCTCTATTTGGCAAATTATGCCCAGATGGTTAACATTAATTTCTCTTTCTCCTATCCCTCCCTCATGCTAGACTCAGTCCAACGGTCAGCCACTTGTCAGGAAAAACATAGCAAATCCTACTTTCTGCCAAAATCAAGTTACAAGACACTTTTCCAGAGCAGTCACACTCAATGAAGGGACTCAAAGTATATCTGAGTGTGACGTAATTGAAACCACATGGAGAGACTAGAAATCCCTTGCTCCCAGTCAGATATAGTGAAAGGGCTTACTCAAGACTGGACTGATTGAGAATGTAGCGGGGCTAGGGAGGAGAAAGAGAAAGATCCTCAGAAGTAGATTGTCCCTGAATACAGGATGAAATCTTCTAGATTTTTTTTTCTCCAATTAAATTTGCATTTCATTCAACCACATTGCAATGGCTTCACATTGGGCATTTTCATTTGAGACCCAAGGCTTTTCTTCATGGGTCCTGAGCCACAGGTTCCCGGATGGTGAGGTAAGTGGCATTTGCCAGCACTGTCTAGGGTGATTTGTAGTGCTCTGAAAAACCCTGTGCTGAGGAGTCAGAGCCATCCTGTTAGGTCCTAAGATTTGTCCTCTATTGGCCCCTCTTTACCCAAATGCTCTTCAGGGATCCCAGCCCAGACATAGATGTTAGCCCAGCCTCACAGTGTTAATCTAGACCTCTAAAAAACCAAAACAGATCCTGAGGATTGACCAAACCAGGAATTGTGAACATCATGGCAATCTCTTTCTAAAGACAATCATTTCTGTAAAAAGTGTAGCTCTCTGAAAACCCACCATACCCAGAAAGTATATTTTCTTCCCTGCCCCTCTTCTTTCTACTTTTACAGGTAAGCTAGGACTGATGCAAGCTACCATGTTTTCAAATGTGAGCTGAAGGTCTCCCTTCTCGTGACAAGATTCAGATCCCATCCTCTATTTAACTAATAGCCTTGCCAATAAGTACAAAAAAAATCTGGCCAATCCAGCAGATATGTTAATTAGATATGTTGGCAGATACATTATTCCTCTGTGTCCCACAGCCTATACTTACTGGACTAGGAATGAAAGAAAAGCATTCCCCATTCTTTTCTCCTGGCTTACCAGATAGAGTGATCCAAACTTGGTAGATCAGCAGCTAAGTGCAAGCCTGCTGTAATAGTGAATGAATAAAAAGTTCTGCTAATTCAGACCTACCCATCACCCATGAATTTGTGATTGGGCTAGCTCTCTGCCTGCTGAATTCAGGTAGACAGACAATTGTCCTTCAACCACAAGGTTAAGGCTAAACTCATGCAGGTATTTCTAAGCATGCTGCAGATTGTTCTTTCTCTCTGTGGCCATGCTTTCCAAGCCCTGACACCTTTCTATTTAGCCTCTGCTAAGCTCAAGTGTGCTGAAATCCTGAGCCCCGCCCCTGCCTCAGCCCCCTATCATGTGCTTGCTTTGGCTCCCCTGTCTTTGCTGAGATCCTCACCATGAAACCAACTCTAGGTATTCCTGAGTGACTCTCTAGGTTCTCGTTCTCCCAAATGTGCCTTTTATCATCAAGGCATGGGAAAACGTATCATCTGATTCTCCAAGGTGTCCAGCAATTAGAATGGCTGAGAGGAGGAGGGCATTTGAGTTTGCCTCTTGATAATGGGGTTGTGCAAAGAGCAGATATTGTCTCAACTGTTCTGAAGTTGAACAATGTAACTACTTTCAGGTGAATAGACTATTGAGAATATTTTGAGTTGTTGATGGCAACCAAAAAAAAAGGCGGGGGGGGGGGGGGGGGAGGGCGAAATTCCAATCACTTTCCTCCAGCATCCAGCAGTCCTTAAAACTTTCACTCTTAAATCTCCAAATATGCTGGCTTCTAAGAAGAGCTTCCCAAGATCGAATATACCTCTTGATCAGGGTAAGTGATGAAAATGTGTATTTACCAGGGGAAGGGGATCATGGAATAGCATGAATTATGCACGCTGTGGCCTATCTACCCCCACTGTGCTAAATGGCTCAGACTGTAAAGTTTTCAGAATCAGAAAAATGATCAGAGATGCACGTTTCTAAAGGCGTGATGGAGGATTAGCAAATGACTAGCTAACTCAAGGTGCATATAGACTTTCTGTTTTCTTGCTTTAGGACAGCTTTCTTGGGAAGCTGGACCAGGGAGTTCCTAATTCTTCCCTAGTATCATCCCAGGGGCATCCTTGGTGAGAGTGGAAACTTGCTTGGGTGCAGCAGCCTGAAGGAATGTCAAGTTCACTGCATCTCCACTGCAAACTGGTTGGTTTCAGACAAATCCCTTGAGTTGTGGATAAGGCTGAACCAGCTAGGGCTTTCCTTGAAATAGAATGGAGGGGTCTCTTCTCACAGGCAGATAGCCTTGTGCAGGGGACATCTGTTGGCTAATAGGCTCCTTAGGAGGAACAGATGTCTCATTAAAGTGTCCCAGACATCTCCAACTCCACATGATGGAAGATAGACCTGGAATATTAAAGACCAGAGATTGGAATTGAGGCAACATGATGGAGTGGTGTGGCATGAGTGTTGGAGCCAAACAGATATGAATTTGATCTGATCCTTAGTTTTGTAACTTCAAGCTCTAGGACTTTTAGACAAGCTGCTTAAACGTATGGTCTCCATTTCATTAGCTTTCAAATGGGAAAAATAATAACTGTTTGGGGAGCGATTTCTGTGCTCAATAAGACTTAGGGGTAGGTATTATCATAATGACACCTAGCGAATTACCTTAAGGATTAAATACAGCTTCTCATGTAAAAGTGTCCGGGGCAGTGTCTAGCATATAGTTGAAGTTGAAAAACTCTTGGTTTCTTCTCTCTCCCTCTTTTCCTTAAGCCAAAATAGTTCTGCTCCCTGATGAAGACACCTTTAGGAAAAGAGGAATCCCTTTCCTAGACTTCCTCCCTGAGGGACTTCCCTTGGTTGATATCCTGGGAGCTGGACTGTTTTTTCTTCTCCAAATCCACTACTTTACCTGCTGGCATTTTTCATGGTGCTTGGAGAGGAGACAGTCGACATGGGCAGGACATTTCTGGGCTTCACTCACCCTGAAAGAGAAGAGACTCTGTTCTTTTCAAGGGCTTCGTGACAAGCAGCCTACTTCCACAAGCCCTCTGGGGGAGCATTAGGGGGAATGAGTCCTCTTCATGCTTGGGATGCCCTGGAATGGGTTGGCAATGCAGAAGGCGGTTTCACCTTTGACAGGTTCCACATCAGTCTATTCATTTGCAGGGTCTTTAGCTTGATTGCTCAGACAGAAATTGGGCATCACAGCCCTTAGCATAGCATGGTGAGACAGCTCGCGAAGCCAAGGTCACCAGCTCCAGCCCAGACATGCACCAGAGGACTTGACTGAGGAGTAGGGGAGATGGAGATGCTAGTTATGGAGGACTAACTTTCTGCAGATGTTTCTGCTGAGCTTCCAAGCCCCTCGTACTCTGTCTTGATTACTGGAGCAAGACAGAAACAAGGCAGAGCGGCGCCCTCTTCTGGGAGGGAGGTGCAAAGACACTGAATCCTCCAGGAAGTCGGTGTTAAATCAGCACAATTTTGGCAGCTGCCTTCAAAGTTCTGACGTGCAAAGCCTGAGCACATTTATTCCATTTCCAACTCTATCTTATTTGTTAGAACTAGATTCAGGGTTTGCTTAAAAGCTGTTAGTGATTTTAAATGAATCTGTCTTGATCGCAACATCAGACACAATAATACTCAGCCACTATGTACAGCATAGAAAGCAGGTTACATTCTAAAGTTTCCTTCTCTATATAGTTTATGTAGTCCATACAGAAACCATGTGGCTTCTGTGAATGTGCCCACACACATGAATTTATGCTTACACATACTAATCTCATATCTAAACAAACGCCTACTCCGTGCCTTTAAAAACATGTTTAGCCTGACATTTTCATTAATCCAAGGAGACTTCATTGAAACACTGCCGGAGTCTCTGTCTGTCTGGCCACATTTGATGACCCCATGTGATAAGTCATCTTCAGCGCAAGAACCAGGGCCGCCTCCCTCTCACTGATACTTCCCTTGACTGCATGCCTCCCACTGCAGCAACATTCTCACATGCATACATGCATGCAGTCGTGAGCTAAAAATAAACAGCTGCTGATGGGCTGCCAGAAGGTGTCCCCCGTATTGAGCAGACACCCTCTGTCTTCCTTTAGTAGAGTACAGACAGGAATTGAGGGTACTGGACGGGCTAAGCTGAACCCAAATCTCTCAGGCAAGTTACAAAGAGTAGGAGAGCCTGAGAAGGGAGATGACACAGCTGAGGCCCATGATCATTCTCCCCTTCCAGGCCTTGTGCCCCAAATCCAAGTGAAAACCTCTGGAAAAGTGTTTACTGACATCGAAGGAAACCATTGTCAGGGAAGATTGATAATTAGGGTTAAGAAAGGAGGTAAACCATTCCTCCAGCCACGATTGTAAATGGATCTCTGCTTTCTGGTTTTCCCCTTCTCAGGGCAAAGATTCTCCAAGTGGATCTAGAATATGTGTGCATTTAAGGAGGGTGATTTGTGTGCCTGTGGTTTTGTTCAGATCTAACAATCTGCAAAAATTCTCCCCACCTCCATCACTCATCAATCAATAAACCCTTTGTCATGCTAAGGTGTGGCATTTCTTCTGCTGAAAACCTCAGATCCAGACACACCCCACACACCCTGAGACACACACATCCACACACACATGCACACACTTCCTCACCCTCACGCTTCTTTCAAATTGGTTTAAAAATAGCACTAATCCATTGAGCTCATTTTTCAGGGACGTTATTTTAAGTAGGAAAAAAGATATCCTGGTCTTTGAGAGGGAGAAAGGGTAAACGTCACCTCGCCTTAAAAAGTCCTGATAATGTCTCTGGAGACTAAGCATTTGCAGTCTTTGTTGAATTTTCTCCTCCTCCTGCCATTCAGCAAAAGTTGTTTATTCCCGAATACCCTGCCATCTGGGTATTTTTAGAGGTGGGTTTCGTCTTCGGGTGGTGAGCAGAGGGAAGAGCCGCAGGAGCAAGCCCTGACACTCTCCTCTGGGCGCTCCCCACCGCCAGCACAGACGCCTTCGGGGGCGGTGGATTTGTGAATCAGCTCCCCCCTTCCCCACGCAGGGGAGCCCCTAAATGGCTGCTGGCCATTTGCAAAGGGTTGTGTGCATGTGTGTATTTAATTGCAGGCTTATTTGTTTCTGCTCTGGGAGTCTGTCCGTCTCTCTGTAACTCGGATCATTGCTCTCTGGGAAGCTGTATAGCTGGCTGATTCCGTGGGAGACCAGGCAGGATGCGTGGGCGCAGGAAACAGAAGAGGGAAAAGGAGGGAGAAAAAGAGAGCAGGAGAGAGAGAGCGGGAGCCTTAGAATCTGTTATTTGCGTCACTCGAGGAGCCGGGGCTAT